ACTAGCTGTAATCGACCTTGACGCGTACAAGGTAAATACATTATAGTAAATAATACAATAATTTGTTTGTCCACTTTCAAAATGTTTATCTCGCATACGAGATGAAATTTGAACGAAAMCCATTGTGGTTTGGAACTGTGCATTATAGTATACGTTATTATTTGTTACTATATATATAGGTATTATCTAATCCCGAGTTCTTGTCAGAAGGCGTGGCTGTTGAAAACCTATTAAATGCAGACCGAGTTCTTATAGGACACGAAGAGACCGCCGACGGTTTGTGGGCTTTTAAGGAACTCAGTAAAGTCTATTCAAATTGGATACCCGAAGAGAAAATCCTCAGGACGAACACTTGGTCTTCGGAACTAACCAAATTGGTAAATTCAAAGCGTGTTTTACTTGTCTTATTATAATAATTAATAAGTATATTATGGTAACATTTACCAAAATGTATCATGTTCACAGGCGGCTAATGCATTTCTAGCTCAACGGATTTCCAGCATTAACTCAATGTCAGTTATATGTGAAGCGACTGGTGCAGATGTCAGTGAGGTGGCTAAGGGCATAGGCCTCGATTCCAGAATTGGGCCAAAATTTCTACAAGCGTCAGTCGGTAAATATTATTTGTGTGAATCCTTGTTTCCTTATAACATCTGATTTGACAAACTTAAATTTGTTTTCAATTGCTGGACACATTTTGCCTAAAAAATACAAATAATATTTTAAAGGTTTCGGAGGCAGTTGTTTTCAAAAAGATCTACTAAATTTAGTTTACATATGTGAATGTTTAAATCTTCCACAAGTAGCTGTTTATTGGCAACAAGTATAATAATCGTTCTATTTATATAACTTTATTATCTATATAGTGTTACAATAGGTATTTGACAAATAAAATTACTGTGATCGATTTTTATCTACAGGTACTGGACATGAATGTTTATCAAAAATCTAGATTTTCAAATAAAGTTATTGAATCATTGTTTAATACGGTCACTGGTAAAAAAATAACAATGTTTGGATTTGCGTTTAAAAAAGACACGGGTGATACTCGTGAGTSACCTGCAATACACGTTGGTAAGACGTTACTCGATGAAGGAGCAAAACTCAATATTTATGACCCGAAGGTGAGTTCGACGAACAATAAAAGTATGGTGAAATATATTATATAAAATGTGAAATTCTATAAAAGGGAAAACAACATTTGACGACTGACGAGGATGCTGTTTTATTTTCTAATGATCAATGTAAAATACCTACGGTTATCTATTATTATCGTTATTCACAGAACCTATATGTATACGAGTGTCTCATTCTTATTCTTTATTTAAATTATCAATAATTATATCTCATTTATTTCAATTTCATGTTTAATAGCTGTACTATAATACCTATATTAGTTTGTATAATTGTAGGTTCTAGCTACAAATCACATAATTTAAAATTAATTGACATCATTACTCATTACACAARATATAAAATTAATAATAAGAGTTGTACAGCATATGTAGGTATTTAATTGAAACATTATGATGTGAACTTGTTTTTTWWAAATAAGTTGAACAGAATATTGTGATAAAATACCTAGGGSTATCGTTAAATCATTTATCGAATCATCTCTATGGTATTATTTTGGTACATAATTTGTTTATAGAAAAATAAATCATTGATTTTAGGTGGAACCAGAACAAATCCAAAAAGACCTCACGCATCCTTACGTCACAGATAATCCAGAAAACGTAATTAGGTCTATTGAAATCCACAATAATCCATACACAGCTGCAGACTCTACACACGCTATTGTAATATGCACCGAATGGGACGAATTTGTGGTAATTTTTTACGAAATAATCATTTTATTATAAATATAATAATATTTATGTGACTCGGTGAGGCGAGGTCGTACGCTCAATCTGCGGTGGAACGCACTGAGCGTGCGTACCGGCCGCAATTGCTAGCTCCCGGATGGGTGACCACCCGGGATTTTTAGCAACATATCCTTGCCACACATATACAAACACGAATTTTACCAGCCTACCAACTTAAAAACCTACAAAAATAACACTCACCGCACCACCCCACACCCAATGGCGTATGTTGCCGTGGGTTCTTCGCTGATAAAAAATAATAATAATATTTATTATAAATTTAAAGTTGAAAAGTATAATATCTATACATTTATTCATTTAATTAAAATTATTTCATCATACAAATAATAAAAAGCATTTCGTTTTATAACAAATTTTTTCTGTCCTTTATTAGGATGTCATATATGTTATATACATATTTACTTACACATCTGTTTTAAAATTWRTATCCAATATTTAGAATTTACGTATTTGATTCCGATTATTGATCCAAATTTTAAAGATAATACATATTTTATAATGTTTTAAATTTTTAATACAAAATACACATTTATTTCCGATGAAAAATTATCATTATTAAAAATATGGTCTAMTGCTTTTACTCTACTAATAGTTATTTCTTATTTGCAACCAACCGATGTATTATTATGTTMTAGAACTTGGATTATGAAAAAATTTATAAACGTATGATAAAACCAGCATTTATTTTTGATGGTCGCAAGATTCTGAACCATGAAATCTTGGCCACAATTGGTTTCCAAGTTCATACAATTGGAAAGCGTTGAATTTTAAAATGTATGGCGCATATTGTCTTCCATTTAACCATATCGATTAAGTATTCTTGCCACCACTAGAAAATATCAGTAATTATATTATATATTTTTTTACATTTATACTTCATAGTTTTTACATAACCTTAACACCTTATTGATCAATTTATACATGACATGGCCTCATACTTAAAATAAGAAATGAATTACTATAAGTAGTAAGGATATATATATTKTAATGTTGTAACTATATAAAATGTTTAAATATATATTTTTGTCTGTATTCTAAATTTTTATTATTATTGATAAACTAATTATACTTTTAAGTTATATTGATTGTCATTTAAAGGGAAAATATTGTAATATCCAAGTTAAGTTAAAATGTAAAAAGAAAACAAAAAGTTATTATGAATTTTTCAAACGGTAGTCATCTAATTAAGCTTTCTAACTAACATTTATACCAACACGGTACTTAATTTATATTTATGTTGTTATTACAGTAATAATGTATACTGCTATACGTATGTATATCTATGTCGTTTTGATGTATTATTTTTTTTAAGCCTATTATCATTTACATAAAATTGTGTAAGAAAATTATAACTACTTAATGCAATAATGCGAATACGAAATAATAAAATAATTTTTTTTAGTTTATATAAGTATKTCTGTTTTATATAATGCATAAATTATTTGATGAAAAGTATTATCTATTATTCTATTTTGATTTTAACTGAATGTGATACATTTTTATATCTTAACGTACAGAGTTATTTATAAATCATGTCAAATATTAATTTTATTGTATTGTTATTATTTTATTTTAGATTATTCAAATTTAGGAACACATTCTGAGAATGTATTGTATGACGAATGTAATCATTGTACAATAATTGAATGATGTGTTTTTAAATTTATTATTAAAATATTATACATATTAGGCGTCTACCTAAATGGTTTAATTTTTGTAATTAAATAACATGATATTATGTCCTATAAGTTGGGTTATGATAAAACTAGCATTTATTTACGATGATCACAAGGTTTTAAATCATGAAAACTTGGCCACAATGATTGGTTTTCAAGTTCATAGATTCGTACAATTGCAAAACATAAATATGTAATTGTAAGAAAAAAAACAATTGTATTGGTTCATTAAATGATCAATTATTTATACTTAAAATTTAGATGGTAAGAATATTATACTTGTAAGAATATAAAATATATATTTATTTAATTATTTTGTATCTTCAATTGTTTATGATAATTATTATAAATTTATAATTTTATTTGTTGTCATTTAAAGGAAAGGTATGCATTGGTCTTGTGTGAACATTTTCGTTTTCCCAAATCCCAAGAATTAAGAAAAGTAGATACTTGGAATTTTCAACTTTTAATATCTCCTCCCMAAAAAAATACCAACTAACCAACTAGTCACTAGACTCCCTTTCCATCAGAAAGATTTTAAAATTAAATACCGTAGCATATGTACCTATGCTAAGAAAGTGTAGAATCTACACTGTAGATATACAAAACACACATCATTGAAATTTTTTTGCTCCGTTCAATATTAAAAAATATATATATATATTTAAATGCGTTTACAAAATATTAGATAAGTATAGGTATAGACAATACGTACATATACATATAAACCAATACCATAATACCTATACAAGTAAATAAATAAAAAGTAACATAATATAAATACATATATCTGATTAATTATATCTACCAATGATCACTTACATTTATATGACTCAATCTATTATTACTGCAAGCCATGTTAAGTTGTTGTTCGATGTAAATTGTGTAGACAAATAGAAGAAAAGTAACATGGTATATTATGACGAAAAATTCTTCTATTTCCATGTATACTKTATAGTGTATATAAATGTCTATRAAATTGTGTTTTGATATTTTTAAACCGGCTATGAAAAAACACTTGAATTACATTTTTGGGCCTATGATGAGAAAATTGAATACACTTTTATTTTTTAACTATATTTACAACTGTTTCCACATTTACGTGATTTGACAAACATCGTTAACATTTCATCCACTTAAACGATTAGATAGGTATATTAAACGAAATTGGATATATAACGTATGTAATTTTGATATTTAATAATTGCATTACCAAGTAAAATTCTTGAGGAAATTTGCATTCTGGTTTTTGACCTAAAAAACACTTTTTCAACAATTCAAAAACTAAGTTTAAATATTTATAGGTACACACTGTGAATGAAATTTTAGTAATTTGACAGTTTTAAGCAAAAGTGGATTGTTTCGAATTTCTACATGGTAATAATAAGAATAGTTTGATAACAACTATTTTACATTTGAATACCTATCAAGTTTCTAATACCTAACTACGTCGAGTAGAACTAAATTCTTAATTTTTAATAAGAATACAGTGCGAAATTAACGCGAGACAAATTTGTCGGTGGAAGCACTGAATCTCTAATATGCAGAAACTTATGAATTATGATTAACTAAATTGTAAAATATATGTCTACCATCTGTTTAACCATTATCTATAGGTATTTGTCAAAAGACGATTGCCGATATCCCAAAAATTACAGTGAACTAAATTAACGGAAAAACAAAAAAAAAACCAAAATAAGTCAACGATAGACGGGCAGGTCCATAAGGGACCTCGCGTTACCATACATTATTTTGTTCAGTTCGTGTTATTTTTATACACTTTCGACCTATCTAGGTTTATGTGGCCTATGCATGCCATGTGAATACTTCCAGTTGCGAGTTCTCTCGACTGCTCTTTCCTACTCTATTTTAGGGCACACACACGCCTTAAGAGAACGCAACACCCGCATAATATTATGTCGTCTTCGTCGTACAAGTGCGTAGTAGCATCTTGGTAAATTTTACGCTCAGCAGATGACGTTTATCTTCGTTAGTTTAAAATTTATAGTGAATTGACCTATAATAAAAATTAAAGGCGAGATTATTATCTGGGGAATCTCATTGGCTTTTTATAATATTTTGATTTTAAAGCGAGTTATGAGTATTTTTAGATATAACAAACAATTAACCATTTTAAAATTAAAATATAATAAAAAGCCAATGAGATTCCCTAGATAATAATCTTGCCATTAATTTTTATAATAGGTCGATTCACTCTAAATTTTAAACTAACGGAGATAAACGTAATCTGCTGAGCGTAAAATTTGCAATGCTACGCACTTGTATTACGACGAAGACAACACATGCGGGTGTGGCGTCCTCATAATAACGTTTGTTTTAGAGTTGTCAACAATACGTATTAATTCTAATATTTTAACAACCAATCAGTCGATATATAACTACCAAATTCTCCAATATGGATCTTCCTTACTATTTCGTTTCATCATGTATTCAAGATAAGACCTATAGCAAGTAATAACATATTATAAAATTATATATATTGGTGAATTTATGTTCGTTGAAGATCCTCGGACTTAGGTGGATTTTTTCAATTTTTTAAAACAACTGTGCAACAATATCTTACATATTTTAAATCCGTTTAACTGAAAGTCTTTGTGAAAACATAAAAAATCCCGGTCACTGCTGTGGTAGTCAAATGATTTTGTCAGAGGGATCAGGGAGGAGGATATGGCTATATTTTAACATACAGTGATTGATTATTAAAAATATAAGGTTATCAGGCGTTAAACATTGTAATTGTAAAAATGGGTCAGGGGGGGTATCTATCYCAGACCATCATTGGGTCACATAATATTATGATATTAAGAGTTATACATTTACATACAAAATTGTTACAATTAAATTCATTTGTGTGTAACTTGTACTCAAAATTCTCAAATACTAARGTACCTCCAAATGTTGCTATTTTTTTCCGTTGAACGCGAAAAATTTTTAATATTAAAAATTATTTTAAAATTCATCATCACACTAAAGAATAAATATTATATAATTTCATAAATATTTTAAAATTTGAGTATTCTGTTCTAAAAAGAAAATTCTAAATAGAAAACTAATAGTAAACCGTGAAATATTTGACCTGAATAAGTGAAAAAATATAGAATTAAACTTAATTTAATAGGTAACAATTCAATACATAATTCATAATTTAACAATATTCATATTAGGCTATTGTACGTACGCTAAGTACGTTTTTTGACTATTACATTTCACTTAAACAATAAGCATAAATAAAAATAAATCATTAAAAAATATATGGCAATAAGGTCAACGACTTAGGAATATTTGTTTTTTAATTATTCTATAAAATCAGATACTAAATAATATATTTAATACTTAATATGAAAATATTTAAAAATATATATATATAAGTTGTAATTGAATCAGCATACGACAATAGCCGGTCTTTATCACATATGCATTTCTTTAAACGTTTTACCAAGCATTCTTTTCCTCAGAAATTTAAGACTAACAACAAATTTTTATATTAGTATGTCTTATGCCTGAAGGTGAAAACAAATGTATCGTTATCATAAGACATATTAATGATCTTATTTTTCGTTCTAAATGGGGAAGACTATGTAGAAATTAATTGAATAACATTTACATAACTATAAAAATTCAATCTTATGGTATGGCATAATTAACACATTATGTAAGATGTAAGCTATACAACTAATCAGATTAAAATAAAAAATAAAACTATCTTAGGTATATTTTTAACAATTTAATTTTCAACAAATTAATAAAATTTTAAATAATAATAATTATTACAACATTATAATATTAATTTTTATAATAAAAGACATAAATTCTAGTTATTTTTGATTAGATAYATTTTTTGTTCAAGTTAACAAATTATAATAAATTATGATAAAGAAATATAATAATATTGATTTTGATATTTCACAGCCTTATTTTTTTTTTTAAATCCAAAATAATAGGTATATTTAAATAGTTAAATATACTTATTTATTCAAATACATAGAAATATACATATTTGTTAAAAAATATAGAATTGAATGACAAATTTAATATTTTCTATAAAATTATATAAAACAGTTAAATGCAAGTCTTAATTAAATCTTTTTTAACATAGGTAAATTAAGAATTTCTGGTATTTCTATATCTTCCAGTCTTATATTAGATGGATGAAATGGAAATGTGATTGGGTAAAGATACTTAGTATCCATTAATAATTTTTCCTAAAACACAATAAAGATAGCATGATTATTGGTTATTGGTAATTTTTCAAATATATGAAGCTATTAAATACACAGGTGAACTAAAAAATTGTTATGGAA